AAAACTTCACCAGCCGCCATTGGTTGGATGTTTAACTTTTTAATTTCAATACAGCACGATGAGACAGAGTGAGGCAGGAAGTCATGAGCAAAAAAAAAAAACATTCGGTTGATTTTCATGATATTAATAATAACAATTTTCTGTGGTAAGCTTCTCTTACATAAAGAGTCACCATGGTCCTTCAAAAAGCCTTAGAATGCCTCATTTTTATTTAGAACTCTTTTAATTTTTTATAATCCTATAATTAGTTTTTTATATATAATTGCTTAAATGTGCAAATTAGATGTTATTTATTTAATATTTATAGTTAAACTTTCTTATAGCTATTTTTACTATTTCATACTTTGACATAGGGCTGCTCTGGAACCCACAAAACTAATTTCATTTCCCGTTAACGTGTGTTAAAATTACGAATAAGACTCCTTGAGACATGATGGTGAAATGGAAGATTGTTTTCATTTCTTTCATTTTTTTTTTTATTGACTGTATTGATATTGTTCACTAAAGGATAAACAGGATAGGGAGGAAAAGGCGGAGTCAAACCGAGCTCCTCTTTGGGCTGAGTAGCCAGAGGAGCAGTGAGGAGAGAGAGAGGAGATACTGCGTGTTAAATGTCAATGTTTTATTTTTTTAAATTGAAGTATTGTGTAAAATTATAATAGATATATGTTCAAACGTTGGCTTTCAGATATTCTGACTGACCCTGAATCTGCACTTTAGAGGCCCTACAGTCACAGAATCAGTGAAAAAGTGTATTAATCTGGACTTTCTGCAGGAGTAAATACTGCAAAGTCAACCACTGAATGCAATCAGCAGACAGAAAATGTTTAACAATTTATATGTATGATATGATTGAACTGTCTTTGTGAAGTGCTTTGAGATTGCTTGAATTTTAAATTGCAACACTAGAAATAAACTGAATTAAACTTTGTTAACAACATATTTATTCCTTTACTGTTTCTGTAAATTATAGATTATATTTAAATTCCAAAATGTTCCTGATAAACCATCATTTATGGCTGTTTGACATGTGTGTTAAATCTAGATAGTAAAATAATGTACCATTAAGAAAACGCTTTGTTTATTTGTTTTGCAAACACAGTCTCTGCCAGGCGAAGTTCTCTGACAGCTGCAAGCAAGATGTCAGATGGATCATTAGAAAGAAATGCAACAATATAAGCTACACAAAGCAAAAAATGAAAC